AACTTCTAAGTTGTTTACAACTCTATGGGTTGGAATAAAAGTTTTCATTTGACTTTTGGACATCAAGACCCCTTTCTCCTTCCATTTTGATATCACTCAGACATATATGAGATAATATAACATTTAACATAAATAGCCAACATTTCTTAAGTTAAAAAAAAAAAAAAAAAAAAAAAAAAAGAAAAAAGCCATAGAGGATAAAGGCCCTTCTTGGTATTTCACATTAAAAAAAAAAGTTTCTTAAACAAAAGTAGTATTTTAAAGACAAAACTAAAATTTATAGTTAAAAAACCCCCAATTAATTTAGTCAACTGACCTCTAGTTAGTAAAAGTGCAGTTACAATCCTACTGTAAGCCTGGTACATTAGGAGAGGGGGCAGAGAGAGAGGGCAGAAAAGGGGAGCATGGGGAAAGAGAAGAGAGGTTGTTATTCTCAGTCTTTTATTAACCAGTTTCTTTTATTCTAGTGGGTCTTTATTACTTAGAAAAATAAAAAATGATCTGGGGCTTTATCCATTCTCACCTAAAATTTTGGAGTAGGTAATGGCTGTCTACAACCTGGTCCAACATATGCCCCCAAACTAAAACAAACAAACTCATTTACCATACAAATTGTTTACGATTCATTAAAAAGCAAAATTGCACATCCCCGTGCTGGCAGCTGAGGCTGAGCCTCCCCGGGCGGAGGGGGCATTCACTGAGTTGCCTTTGTATGCTGGGAAGACCAAGCCGGAGGTTCCCACTATGCAGCCCGGAGTCTGTGCAGCCAGATGACGCATGAGGTAATTTTAAAGCTTTATTTGCCTTTAGTGTGAAACTTGGAACTTGTACTGTCCCTTAGTTAAAGAACCATATCAGCCAGGGGCAAGTTAGAAATTTTTTTAGTTGGATAAAATTGTTTGGGGTAATAAGGTGGGGGTATGGAGGAAGGGGAAGTGAATGCTATCCTACGAAAGAGCTAAGAGAAAATGCAAAACATGTCTTATTTTAATTAATCCTCTCCCCCTTTCATCAAAGTCCTCAATTTCCCATCAATAATGGAAAGTTTACATTAGAATTATTGGTAACTGGCAGATCTAAACTGCTGTTGTCACTTTGGAGGGAAATAAAAAATCAATTTATTCTCTATGGTAACTTCTACAACTTCTTTAAAGAGCACTCTGATTCCTCACCCGTTTTCAAAGCAAAGATCTAGAAGCATTGAAGTTGAGAGAAACTTCCTGTAGGATGCAGCCTAAACAGCAGCATGTGAACTTATAGCTTTGTTTATTTTTAGTCAACTGCATTGCTAACTGTTTCCACCACTTTTATATTTTATATTCCTCGTGGTAAAACATTTGTAAAATAATTTTAAATGAAAAGCAACTTCCAAATAAACTTTACCAAAAGAAATGACAGTTTTCCAAGTTAAAAAGAAAGAGTAGCCCTTTGGTGATCTTTGCAAAAAAAGAGAGATGACACAATTTGCCATAAAAAGTAACAGTCTGTAAAATCTATGAGCTCTTGAAATACAAGGAAGTAGAATGCCGCCCAGAATGTGACATCAGCACACATAGGTTTTTTTTTTTAAGGTTACAACTTAGCTTAGAAAATAATAGCCAAACCAATAAGTATATTCATTTCTAGTGTTTAATAAGCTACATAAGACGAAAGGATAGGTAACATCATAACATACAAATAAAACTTGCTCTTGCTGGCAAAAACTATTGGGAAAATAAGTGCCCTGAATAAAAAAAGTTCAGGATCTAAGCGGATAGTTTACTGCTAGTCTAATTAAACAAAAGCTGAAAGTAACATTGTCCTGAAATCACCAGTAAGTTTCTAACGTCTATTTAAGAAATTGAAAGTTAAAACACACATGTACACACATACCCACGACCACCTTAACTCATGAGTCCTTAGGATGGACACACTGCACCCCAAGAAGCAGCCGAATAGAATCCTGCGGTAGCTCACTTTTAATAGTCTCTCAGTCCTCAGAGTTCCTAAAACTTGCCAAAATGATACCACCGTTGGTCCAGGAAGAAGATTATACAATGAAACTGACCAAGTCCAGTCTTGTAATTCCATTCGCCAGTCTCCCCTCCAACACCACTCTCTCTCTCTCTCTCTCTCTCTTTTTTTTTTCTTAAACTGATATCTATGTGAAATGAGCTGAAGTTCACGGTCCAGTTAGGAACGGATAATACATTCATTGTCCTGGCAGCAAACTTTTTTTTCACTCCCTGGAAGAATTCACGCTTGCCGCAAGAATAATAATTATGGAAAACTAGAAATGCACTGCTAACGAATTAATTCTTTACGGACACCACCCTAACGAGGGCGGTAATGATGTGAGGACTCTCTTCCTCACAGGACTTGCATCTCCCATGACAATAAGCTATTGTGCATCCTCCCAACTCACTCTACCTCTTATAGATCCAAGATGTCAAAGGTTGTCTGGCCTGGTTGACCATGACATGTGAGTTAACTCATTCTGCGGCCACACGGTAGAACTTTATTAAAAACTTTATTTGTACCCAGAATAACGAAAAGATAGGGTGTGTGGGTCTTTTCCACTCAAAGCTAGAGTTCCTAAAAGCCTTACGACCTGCTCTGACATAAACAAATGGGGAAAAGTTACATGAGAGCTATGGGTCCTCAGATGGAAAACGGGAATAGAGACCCAGAGTTCTCTCACAGGTGACTTCAGACAATCCAGTTAATGGGTCAGGACTTGTTTCTGCCTAGCGCCTAACACACGTCCTCAGAAAATACCACAGCTAAGGAAAAACCATGTACCGCATAGTCCTTGAAAACAAAAGTAAAGGGGATGTGAAGCTAGAGAGGGAGCAAAACCTGAGGGCCAGGACAAATGTTTCATTTTTTTACCCCAAGATCGGCTTGGCTAAAATACCCACCTCCACCTTAACACTTCTGATACTCTTAAAAAAAAAAAAAACAACAACCACAACAAAAACAACAACAACAACTCCCAAACACTTGCCCATGGAAAACCAGGGCAAGTATTCCTGGGAACTCAAGTTGCAGAGTGGCAGAGAGAGAGAGAGAGAGAGAGAGAGAGAGAGAGAGAGAGAGAGAGAGAGAGAGAGAGAGATAAAATCAAATGTGAATTTGATGAATGTGAGGTCTGGGACATTTTGTCAAAGAGGGAGGGAAAGTAGAAAAGGG